TTCCTTTTACTGGGAAAATACTTAAGGCAGAACTGCTAGTTGTAGTGTTGTGTCCACTCAGTGACAGTTTCATTCAATACCTGTCATGTAAATCACAGTCCGTCTGGCTTTTGTTCAGATCCCCACTGTCACGGAGCAGAGGCAGGGGATTCTGTCTAAGCTTCCATCATCTTTTCTCTCAAGCTAACATTCAATACACTCAAATTAATCTCAGTCCAATACAGTTGTCATCTCTTCCCCGTGGTAGAATTGTCAAATTGTTTAATAGCAGACCAACAACTTGGGAAGCATTATTATTTAAAGAAGCCTAAGAATAAGTCTCTCTTATTATTAATTTCTTTTCCTTGTGCATCTAATACCTCCCAGCTCTGAGAGGGAGAGAACTTTCTGAGAATTCTTTGTTTTGCATCTCGTCAGAACAGATGGTTAATAAAAGCAGCCTGCCTTTGTCAGCAGTACTGGCAGCCTCAATCAATAGGCTGTCCATTCTTGAGAAAGTTTTTAATCTTCTTGTGAAAGTTCTTGTCCAAACTAACAGGAATAAATGTTGAATGAATGAATTCATGTAGTAATGCTAGAAATGCTTTGCTGAAGTCCAAATAGACATCTGAATGACCTTCATCCTGCATTTTGTAATTAAGTCCAAAAGTACTGATGTTTTCAAAAAATATTTTTTTCCTCTATATATAAATTTTTTGCAGTTAGCAACTGTGAGAAATGAGTGGAAAGCATAGAGCAAATTATAGACTTGACTTAATCTTTTCTCTCCTGGGAAGAATTAATAATTTAGCACTGGATACCGGAATAGTTGATAGGAAATGTCTACAAAACCACCAGATATGAAAACATTTGGACCATTAAAGGAACCAAGCTAAAGGATTACTTTTGATATTGTGAAATAGAAATAATTATGGACTGTGAATCAAAGCAGATAAATTCTGCCTTTTTTATACGATATTCTATTTTTTTAGATAAATAAAAATAAGCAAGGCTAAGTGAGGGCAATATTTGAATACATATTTTAAGTTTACCATCCAACATTAGTTTTAGCAAAAGGATTTTTGGAACTATTCTAGAGAAAATTATTTTGAACTCTTGAATATATAGCTAGAAAAAGATACACTAAATTATGGTTGCTATGTTCTACTTGATTGGTCTCTTTGCTTGTCCTGTGCCTATCATTTATGGGTTTTAACCCTGTGTGGATATGCTTTGGCATACTTTGGAGAGAGAAGATTGCTCAATTACTTTACAAGCGAGTAGTTAATTCCAATTTCCTTAGAAGGCCAGTGGGTTTTTTCCCTTGATAGATAAACAGGCACAATTATAAATGACTGAATGCTTGTAATAGGCTTGAATCACTCTCCCTTGCTCCCAATTATGTAGAAGTGAAATCATATTACATCTTTATTAATTTAGGTATCTCCATTTATATTTGGTTTTCCGTCAATCTTTAGTCACTACACATAGGTATTTAGATTTTTCTTTAGTGAACAGATAGTGACTTTTACAATTATCTGTTCACTGCCACACTCATCACACATGGATTTTTCCAGAGAAGTATTAGCTCAAACTGAGAATATATTTCATGTATGCTAATCGATCTTCCTGTTAGTGTTTTAAGAGCCTTCAGAACAGCATATTTGAATGTCAGTGTCTCACTGAATTACCTGTGCAATTTCCAGCAATCAGTGTTAAAGGACTGCATGCCAGTGGTAAAAATAGAGGGAAGATTACTGATACAGTTTTAGTCTGGGGTGAACAGTCACAACAGTAACTGATTTTACAACGCATTTCTTGTATTTGCATCAAGCTGTACAATAAACAGCAGTGATATCGTGTTTTGTAGTCAGTATATCCTACAAATTGCTGTTTATTGTTTTACAGTTCTGTTAAGAGGACCCAGTCTCAGTCTAAAAGCAGGAAAGAAGTAGATACAGAATGTTTGCTTTTTGTGAATAAGACAGTGGTTTTTAAAAAGATGGGCTTTTTGTAAAATAACCTCTGCTGGCCAATATACTATCAGTTGTTTGTCATCCACCAGTCTCTTGTAGGACGTGACTGCTGGATAAGAAACACGTCCAAAGACAAGAGCAAGCGTGATCCAAGAGGGAGCATGGCTTGGGTCAGGAAGCAGGTTTGTGTGTAGGTACTTGGCTCCCAACAGCCCTCTGGAGTTGGTATCTTTGAGCTAGCTATATGAGGGACCGCTGGGGTAGGTGAGTTTTATATCTTAAGTAGAGTGTGTTATTTCTAGTGAATTAATCTGTACAAGGGAGCTAAACTCACTCAGATGTGGTCCCCTTTATTTTGACTGATAATAGCTTCATTAATGCTAGTACAGCGAGATACTTAGATTGTGAAAGGTGGTTTAGTTGTAATAACGTAATCTAAATGTGGAGGAGAGGTCTTTTGCTACCATGCAAGCAGAGAGAAGCTCTTATCTCAATTGCAGGCTCAGCTTTGTGGTCTTCTCAGGATACTTCAGGACACAGTGAAATATTACATGAGAAATCTCTTACACATCCCCCTTCATTTTGAGGAGGTCATCACAGTAGTGCTATGCTTAATAGGTGGTCTAGGTGCTTAATAAATAATTTTGTATATTGTATGTTTTAGGTGCATTTTACACTTCAAGAATCAATTCCAAGAATAGTCTACACTGTAAGACGGTTATGGCTGTTTTCAGTAGTTCTGTTTTCTTCAAACTACAGATACAGAAACTAGTTTACAGCTCACCATTAATTCTTGCATTGCCATTGTCATCTCTGCAAAGTTGTAGCTTCAAGATAAAATGTCTACTTGCTAGATCAGTTCTTCCAGAAATGGCAAAATCAAATGTCAGCTGGTATGAAGAGAACACAAAATAATTGTGTGTGTTTGTGCAAGTCTGTCTGCTTTAGAGGAACCTGAACTGCAGTTTGCTATGGTTGCCCAAAGGCAGAGATGTCAAGGAGTCAACTCATAGCTCAGGGCTAATTGTTACGTACCTGTTAGAGTTGATACCAGCTACCTGACTGAGACAAATCCTCTGGAGAATTGGTGTTAGTTGAGACAATGGAGGCAACAGTGCAGGAAAAACCCTGCCGCTGGAATTTGTTGCTGGTGAATTGAGTGCAGTTTTTTTCACATATTGTACATCTCCATGTATATCACATGGCATCACTATGTGTGAATAAAAATTGAGAGGACCTCCATTGATTTGTTTTAATTCAGAGAGAAAATATGAAGTCTTTTATCAGTTTTGACTTTCATGAGTTACTAAATTTCTTCCTACTTTTTTTCCATTGCAGTTTGAGTTCATTCCACTACAATACAAAATTCACTGCACCGGATATAAAGATGACAAAAATCTGGATCACATTTTTGCTGCTGTTCTTATCGGTTACTATGGTGAGTCTTATGAATTTTTTAAATCACTTCCAGTTTTAACATCTGTGTACAGAATACCACAGAAATTATTAATATGGAAATGCAGAAACAACTAATCTTCTGTTCAAATGTGACTTATGCACAGGAGGATCTTTATCTACCTTCTGTTCTCCTTTTAATTCCTGTGGTAAAGGAACAGAAATAGTATTTATCTCTGCTCAACCCAGCGTATCTTTTGCTAGCAGAGAACTTTTACTGTTGACAAATGACATATAAGCAGTACTATGCAGAGCCCAGGAAGAGTTGAGGAGACATCTAACTCAGATTCAGAGAACATCCTCGTAACTTTTATTTTCACCCCTTGTATGACAGTGGTACAGTATTTCAATCTGCAGCTTTGTTTTTCCATGAAGTTCAGTAGTTTCCCATAAAATATTTAACTACTTTTAAAAATGCCTTTAAAAGGTCCAAGTTTTGATCAAGATCCACTTAATTTTATTTTTGTTTTTAAATTTTAATAACTATAAAAGTGGATGTCATGTCTTTTGAATACCTTTTTGTATTCTAAGGGTTGACTATGGTTCACAAGACTATAGAGAAACTAAAAGCTTCAGTGCATACAGTATATAGAAAGGCTTTTTTTATAAATGGTCATTTTGGGCCTGATTCAAATGCCTTTTAGACTAATGTAACTTCAATATATTTTACTGGATTTTGCAAAAGCT